GGCTTATGAACTTGGGGTTTTGACTAAGGTGGCTTTGTCCCCGCAACTTCCTCGAGTTCCAGAACTTTTGTTTTTGACAAGCGTCATTAATATTTGGGTAAATTTCTTTTTTTCACTACTATAGATTGAAACATTACATTATGCGTATTAATTTTATTGATTTATAACAACATTGTCACTTTACCGTCACCCCTTTAAATTGATGAGTAAAAATATTAAGAAAAAGATTAATATTTAATTTTACTCTAATTATTATTAAAACACCAACTAAGCCTTTAAATAATGATTTTTTTTTATTTAATTTATCCGAAAAAACTTTTTAATTTTTAGTTTTCTAATAATCATTTGACCCCAATTTTTTAAAAATAAAATTATGACTTCTAAGTACCCAATTTAAACATCTATAAAGTATTATATAAATGTTAAAATTGGGAATTATATTTGGCATGAACCAACATACCTCATGGTTAAAAGAATCGTCGTTGTTCTTAGAGGTTATAGATTCAAGCACCAGCGGCTGCAACATGGTAATTGTGCGTTCATTATCAAATGGTTGAGAGTGTTTAGAAAATATACTACTTTATTATTACCTTAGTTTAATTAAAAAAAAACAAAGTATTATATTTTAAATGAGATTCTTACAATTTAAAACTCTAAATATGCGTCTTCTCAATTTTCTTCTCATTTTTTATCACTGATTCCAATATTTTATCTATCAATGACGATTTAGTTTCTTTCACCGTCGTCGCCTTCGCCTTTACTTTCTCCATTTTTTAATTAGTTTTGTAAAAAAAATTAAGTTTTTCCTCATTTAATTAGATTTAACCCATTACACTACCTCTTGCTACCAATATCTAAAGTCATGAAACATATCAAGCGTTATCAGTAGTTAAAAAGACTTATTATTTTTAGAGATTTTAAATTCGAATAACTATATTTACAAAATATATACATTAAGAATGATTTTGAACAGATACTACAACTCATTTTCATCGTAACCCACTACAACTCTCTTATAAAAAAAGGATTAATACACTTTTATGTACTTAAACTACACCTTAAATTAGTTTTTGGTGCTAACAGAATTTTTTGTTAAAAATAAGTGCTTAATGTTTTTTCCGTAACACTTTTAGGTGTCTACCGTTAAAAAATCTCTTTAAGTGACATGTGTCACGTCCAAATATTTTTAAAAATATATATTCAAATGATATTTTATTTTTAAAAAATCAAAAAAAATATAAACGTGACACGTGTCACTTAACGATTCTTTTAATGGTAGACACCTAAAAGTGTACGGAAGAAACATTAGGCATCTATTTTAAACGAAAAAGTCTTTAGGTACTAAAAATCAATTTAAGGTATAGTTTAGGCATCTAAAAGTTTATTAAGTCAAAAATTGGTTTATTTTTCGTGCTTGGATTTTAATACATTATAATTGACTCTTTAAAGTATTAATATTATATTAATAAAGATTATTCTGTCAATTTAGTCGTTAACCTAGGTTTTAAGATATATTTTTGAAATTCATGAATCAAATTACATTCCAAGTACAAGCAAATGTAAACCTTATATTAAAAAAATAATCTCTTAAATTCCATTGAGCTAGCCATCAAATTAAAGAATGTATACCCAAAGTAAAGATTCATTAAGCTATCCATCAAATTATCCACTTTAAAATGTATTTGGAATGATGCACAATTAAAGAATGTTCAATTTATCCCTATAGTTTTTTTTATTAAGTTAAGGTGATTTCAAAGTAGTGTATATTATAAATATTTTCCAGATAATGAACACTCAATCACCCTACTACAGTCGCTGGTATTCGAATCCGTGGCCTTTAGGAACAACAACGATTTCCTTTAACTTAAGTTGGTTAGTGTTTTATCCCTATAGTTTTTTTATTATTAAGCTAAGGTGATTCTAAAGTAGTATATGTTCTAAATATTCTCAACCATTTGACAATGAACGCTTAATCATCCTACTAAAATCGCTGATGCTCGAACCCATAACATATAGAAACAACTACGATTACTTTAACCTAAGTTGGTTAGTGCTTTATCCCTATAGTAACATATGATATGAGGGAAAGCAGCATTTGCAACAATCATACTTTCCTCAACATGTCATCAAGAGTCGTAATATCAACACAAGAAACAAGCCTTCAGCAATGAAAATTTTAACCATTTTTCATTTATTGGTTGCTATTTTTAGCCCTTTTTTCCCTAGCATGTACACCGATGCTATTGATTTTGAAAATTTCATCAACAAATAGGGGATGTCTAAGATACGACATCCTTAATATACGGTTAAGAAAAGACGTTATCGGAAATGTTAATATTTTAACATTTCCAGTAAAACGTTACATAAAACATTATTTTTTTTTCCGGAAATGTTAATATTTGGCGCTATCTAAAATGTTTAACATTTCTGGTAAAGCGCTACCTAAAACATTATTTTTCTACCAGAAATGTTAATATTGGGCGCAACCTAAGATGTTATTTTTTCTATCGAAAATTAGATAGAGAAATTAATATTTTTGGTAAAAAACAATATTTTAAGTAACGCTTTACCGAAAAAATTAATATTTTCGATAACGTTATTTTAACAATATAATAAGATTACCGTACAACATAACTACCCACAACTAATCTCAGGGTCTGTTTGGTTCCCGTAAAACAATGAGGTCAATGCATTTTGTTTTCCAGTCAACGGAAAACTTAAAGGAAAACACGGTAAAATGACTTACCGTTTGGAAATCCGTAAGTCATTTTCCATCGTTCTCCCATCCCTTGCTCCACACCAATTCTGAACTTCGTTCTCCCGTCCCTTGCTCCACACCGAAAAATCAGGCCTCCTTCTCACCGGTGAGGCAGGCGGTCATCTTCTCAGGTATCACTCTTTTCATCTTCTCTATAAACTTTCATCTTCTTCTACTTCACAAATCTCCCGAGGTGTACATCATCATAACCTCTATTTGGGGATTTCATTGAAAGAAAGTGAAAAAGGATGAAGTTTCATGAATACCCATCTCATTTAACTCGGTCCTCGCCTTCTTTGCTTGGAGATTCCATTGAAAAACTTAAAGATTTTTGCAGTTTCGCCTTCTTTCTCTCTTCTTCTCTGTTTTGCTTCATTATTTCTATTAAAGCTTTTTAGATTTCTCGTTGCAGATCTATTTTTATATAATTTTGTTTTCTTTCAAAGCATCCATACTGCAATAAATTGAATTTGATTTCTTGTTAAATTAGATTTCTCATATTGGTGTTTTGTTCCAAGTATGATATTATGTGGATTCGAGATAAACCAAATTTTGTTGTTGTTCTAATTTTGTTGGATTACAATACTGTGAAAGAATTTTGCTAGCAGACAAAGCAATTTTTGGATGAATTTGTTATTACATTTAGCTCCAAAATACACGTAGAGTTAATGACAATGTTGTTTAGTTTTCTACAATTAATGCTTGAGACTGAGATTAAGCTTGATGTAGTCAAATATTGGTGAAGAGATTGACATTTTATGTGTGCAGTGGGCACCCTGTTAGGGGTTGCGGATTCCTCTGAGGGGATGCGGTTGGGGCTATTTCTGGAGCGGTTTTTTCTATCGAAGTTTTTGAATCTTCTCTTGTTCTTTGGCAGTATGATGAATCCAGGATCGGATGTTTGCTCTATTTGGTGAGCAGTTTTGTTTGTTATCCTGATTTCACTGGTTTAATTTGGTTGCTGGTTTCTATATCAAATGGCATTTTGCTTATGATATTCATTTTCTGTTATCAGATGGGAGCTGCTGAAACATCTTTTGAGGAGGTCCAGAACATCTTCGACACCGACGATGTTAAGGGATTGACAGGAGATTTGGTTGAAAAAATCCCAAAGATCATAATCACTCAAAATAACATTGTTGATGCTTCTAGGGATAAAGCTTCCTGTTCAGTTTGCCTTTAGGTCTAAGTCCATCCATACAGATTAGGGAAATTCCATTGCTTTGATGTCCCTTTTTAGGTATTTTTATCCTTTTCTCATGTTATAGTTTTGCTTTGGTCCCAGATTTTGACATGTTTCTGTGTTATATCTGTAAAATATCTTGTATAATTCTTTTTCAATTTTCTAAACTTGCAAAACCAATTGCTCATTTAATTGTAACCCTTCACGGGTGAAAGATTTAATCAGTATATCGGCTGAGGCTTACACTGGTGAACAAATGCTCAAGATGGTATGCCTTTTCTGATGATGGAATGCAGTTTGAACCTCTGAGAAACTCTGGTGTAAGGAGGAAACTTGGCGTAGGACAAGCAACTCTTCACATTATTTATGTGAGTTTTAAATGTGGTGTATTATTATTTATGACTTAGACAATATTTTAGCTCTAATGGGATGTAGTATAAACTTCAGTATTTGTATTGTTGGATTGATGTGTTGTAGCACTAATTATGAATTAGACTATGTATTATTAATGTTAGATATTATTGTTGTTTTAATGTGATAAACCCTTTAATTATATATTTTGACAATATTATTATTAGTACAATGTTATGTATTATTGCTGTTTTAATTTGGTGTACTATTAATTAAACATTCTAAGGATTTATAAACTTTTATAATATATTTTTAATCAATTATTAATATTATCTAAAATACATATTTTTATAAAATATAATTATATATAAAAATGAACCTTTAAAAAATAAAAAATAATAAAACATATTCAATATATACAACTTATTCATTAAAATTCTGAAAACATTTTCAAAAAAATTACCTAAATAGTATAAAACATTTTACAATGTAACATCCAAACACTGAAAAATATTTTCTGAAAAATATTTTACATTTCTATAAAACATTTTTTAGATTTCATTTTTCGTAAAATATTTTCAGTGAACCAAACGTACTCTCAGTTTATTCCGACCTTACAGGAACGTAAAAGGAAATTTTTTTAAATTTATTGGGCCAGAAGAACATCCCGGAACGTTGTCGTTTTGGATAAGTTCTCACGCTTGCTTAAATCCCCTCCCAACTAGCGAGAAACTGACGAAATTTCTAGGGCAAGATTTCTTCTGATCTGAAACTCGGTCGCCCAATTTCTCAAACGAAGCAAATCGATGGCGCCTCCACCTGGACCTTACTCCGGCACCAGCACTCTCGCTCTTGTAATTTATTTTATCTTTTTTTTTTCGGTTAGATCAAATGCAGAAAAATGAAAAATAAATAAATATATACACTCGTACGCATATAATAGATCCCGGTTGCCTTCTTTCCCAGGAAAAAAATCGTTAATTGCCTATTTTTTAAAATTGAATAATATTGCGATTATTTCTGTAATAGGTGGCTCGTGCATCTGCTTTCTCTTTTGGACTCGTTTATGGCAGCATTAAGCTCAAGTACCTCAAGGTATTTTGATTTACTGCTTTTATTTTCGATTTATTTTATTTTCTTCAATTTCGTTTTTCTGTTTGTATGCTTGTAATTTTTTTATATATGGGAATGACTATAACGCTCTTACCGATTGGATTTGTATTTTGATGGGAATTTTTAATTTTAATCAGTTTTTTTTCCATATGGTAGAAAGGGTGTTGGTAGCTGCTGCTAAGAGTCATTGTTGTGGTGGTCTTTGTTTTCATTTGTTTGATGTTTCTAGATTATTAGAACGACAATTTTGCATTTCAATTTGATCAAGATAATCCGAAATAGTTGTTTAGATGATAAACCCTTCTGGCTCTTGTTGTTTTGGGAACAATTTGGGGTTTCCTGCACTAACTGTTTGAAATTATGATCTTAGGAATGTACATAATCTATCATCTAATGCATCTGAAAGATATGGTTTTGGTAACTTGATTTCATTTCAATGCATTTCCTTGGATACATAAGATGCTGTATCTCAGTTGGACATTTTACTTTAGGAAATATATTGATAGGTATTGATTTGTGTCTTACATATCCAAGCCCATTGATTCGTAAAGGGTATGAGATCTACTCAATGCTTAATACTGAGTGTAAGACTTGATAACATGTTTCACGAACAGTATTACACATTTCCTTGGATACATAAGATGCCATATCTCAGTTTCAACATTTCACTTTAGGAAGTATGTTGATAGGTATTGATTTGTGCTTTTATATATCCAAGCCCTTCGATCAGTAAACGGTATGAGATCAACTCAATGTGTAAGACTTGATGACATGTTTCACGAAGGGTATTACACATTTCCTTAGATATATAAGATGCCATATCTCATTTTGAACATTTCACTTTAGGAAATATATTGATAGTTAATGGAATTGTGCTTTTACATATCCAAACCCATCGATGGGTAAAGGGTATGAGATCAACTGAATGTGTAAAGACATGATAACATGTTTCACTAACAGTGGCTTCCTGTTTTCTGAGATATTTTGACAATAACATGCTGCCTTTGTTTTAGAGATGTGCTTATCGCTTTTACCTTTACCTGCAGGCTAAGGCAAAGTCTCAAAGGAAAGATGAAGCAAAGGCTCACCACTGATGCAGGGGTGATTTTGTTGGTAGCTGGTTTGCTCGAGTGAACCGAGCTTGGTGTAGGAATAAAGCATATCAATGGTAATGTTTTCATGGACCGTGACATTCTTATCTCCCTTGGAAGTATTAATTTCTGGTCGGCGTCGACACCTTGCATGTCTGGTGATTTTGTTAATGGGCAACATGTTTGATGATTATTTGCTGATTAGCTCATTGTAATAATGCTGTCACTTTTTGGTTCCCCAAAATGTGTTATAAGCGTAGTTTTCCTGCTCTCACTTAAACTTGAATTTTAACAGATCAAAATTAACCTATTTAATCAAATTTAATTTAATCAAATATTAACTTATTTAATCAAATTTAATTTAAAGATATTTATTATTAGTAACTAATTGATTAAAATATTACAAAAATCAGAGCTAAAGTGCTGACATGATATAAAGACACATCAATAAAAATAATTATTTACTGAAATTGAAGAAATTTAAACGTACCTTTGAGAGGGCTTGAACTCAAACATGAAAGGGGAGAGCTTGAACACTTGGGCAGTAACTTTGAACACTTAACCAGTGAGTTCGATGATTAGAAAATTATTGAAACAATTCTTTTTTTTTTATAATAAGATGTTCTATTAAATTAAAATAACTATTATTATGATATTGTTTCTTAGTTTTATAGATGAAAAATATCATTTACTATCTTACCTATAACCATTCCTTGAATAAAATTGACTATATACTCAAATGAGGACATAACCTTTTAGATGCTACTTATATGTAAGGGTTTAACCTTTCAATGTGGCCGAATAAGGGTCTAACATTTTCAATTATGTTCAAATAACGGTATAACTTTTTGAAAAGTCAAATTATTGAGCTTAACGTTTTTGAGTTCGCTTAGACAAGTATCTAACATTTTCTAATCCGCTCAAATGAGGGTCCCGAATTAAAAACATTTTAAAATGCTAGGCTTTTATTTGGGCAATTGTAAAAATGTTAAGCTCTTGTTTGATGCCTCTGAAAGGTTAATCCCTTATTAGAATAGATACAAAAAAAATCAAATTCTTATTAAATCATTTTAAAAGTTTAAGCCCTACTTTGAGTAAACCCTAAAAGGCAAAATCCTTATTGAAGCATTTAGCAATTAAGATTTCAAAATATACATTTTTATATTATTCTATTTCATCTATATCGTTGGTATGATATAATATACATACATATATATATATATATATATGAGTGTTATAATATAAAATGATTGAGATTGAAAAAAAATGGTTCTGACCAAGTCTTTATATGCTCTCTTTACTCAATGTAATGGAGCTTTAGCTTTACTTAATCGCTACCAAATTTGCTTATTTTCAACGGCAAGTGGGTTTTGTTAATTTATTCATGTATAAAACTATTCCAAAAATCTTTACACATATAGGATGAGATCTAATTGTACAATGTAAAACTAAAGTTTTTATTACGCAGATTTAAAATTGTTAGATGAGTAGAACAAAAAAAAATAGCGAAAGAGACCAGAGATGATGGGTTAGGATCCCAAGATCCTAATTGATAAAACATGACAAAATCAGTGTAAGTTGATCCTATTAGATGAAACATGACAAAATCTGCAAAACTGGCTTTGATGTTAACCTTGTAAGATCTTTGGTTTCAGGTTTTTGTTGGGGGTGTTTAAATGTGTTCCAAGGACAACCTGAACAGATTCAACTTGTTTGAGATCTATATAAAATTGGAGGTTGCCTTGGCTACACCCTACAACAAACGCCACCCCCACTCATCCATGCCAAATGATTTTAATATAATGAAAATAATGTCTCTAAACTATACAGGTACAAATATAGATCCAAAATTAACGCAGCCAATCAGTTAGAAATAAGACAGGTCCCAGCATATATTCCCTAAATCTTGCATTATCTGTTATTTTAATCAAGGGTTTACCGCCTTAAACCAAAAGATACCGAGGGGGACAAGATATCATGGCAGAGTAGAAAACGAAACACGAAACGGCCTCATCACTGTAATATACAGGGGTTAAAAGGCTAAGATAAACAGTAAAATATGATAAGATATTCATTGGAAAAAAACAACGAGTTAATCTTAGTTTTTGATTTACCTAAGTCCAATGATCTTAAAATTATGTAAAACTAAAAGGGTTTTTTTAGTTTTGCACGTATTTAGGATCGTTAAATTAGTGATTATAGACTTAAGACCAGAGTAGTCGAGTAGTGTGGGTCATAGCCATAGGGTGTAGCACATCTGTCTTCTTTTTAATGCAAAAAGAAAAACAATGAGATAATATCAACCGTCTATTTTCACTCATCAAATGATTTTAAATACATGTAAAACTTAAAAAACATCTATTTTTACTCGTCAAATGGTTTTAATTATATGTAAAACTTAAAACGTTTTATATCATGTAAATGAGTTTCTAATCTACATATATTGAGCACTGGTGATGAACAATGATAAAAGTTGGTTTGCATGTTGTGCCTTGTTTGGAATATATATATGTTAGGACGTAGTGGAGGTAACGCATGCAGAAGTGGAGGTTAGTGAATGAGGATTTTAGGATTTTTGAAATTAGGGTTTTGCCTTTTTCAAAGATAAAACGGAATATAATTTAATCTAATCATAGTATATCATTATAACTATCAACAAAATGTCATAAAGGGAATAAGCATGTCAATGAGTGTTGCTACAAGTGGTTAGGATTCAAGAATTTGAGTTTGTTAAGGTCAAGTTTAAATTATATCACCATCACTCTTGGTGGGCAATCTGTAAATTCCTATGTAAATCACAATTGGGTCTTCGGTATGTCCTAACTCTAGATTGGGGGAATCACCCATGACCCAACTTTATGTAAAAAAAAAGAATAAGCGTAACTAGGGTTAAAATGTTAAACAAATCCTAAATTATTCTACTCTTTTTAATAAGTTGTTTTTTTAATTTTATTGTGGCAAGTTTTTGTTTTTATAATATTTTTATTTGCATCTAATATTAATTATTTGTTTAACTACAAGCGAATCAACTTTCCTCAATGATAAAAAAATAGTTATTGTTTCTAGAGATCATCGATTCGAACACCAACAACTATAGCAGGGTGATTGAGTATTCATTATCAAATAATTATTTATTTAAGTACAAATTATTTTTTTATGGGTAAAGCCTAGTCATGTTCTCTCTATTTTTTCTTTAGCGTTCTCTATTTTTTATATATATATTTTTTCATCGTCTACGACAACATCAACCGTTAATTTTTCTTTTCTTTTTATTTTATTTTAATCTGTTATATTATTTTCGTCAGTTTTCGTATGAAAGTGTTATTTTCGCATATTAATCTTCATTTGTTTATGTAACAGATATTTTTTTCCCTCAAGGTTATATTTAATGTTGCATCTTCATATCTCAATAGTATTTATTTGATTATACTACGAAATTTATCACTGTTTAAGACTCCCTACTAAATATTGATAAACGATTGTAATTTATTTCACTTTTTGTTATATTTTTGTGCATTAGCCTTCAAAATATATATATATATATATATATATATCATAAATCTATACCATAATTAAATAGCTAATAAAGTTATTAAAATGAGGTAATCACGGTGTGCACTCTTTGATTAATTGAACGAATCTGTTTGATTGATGCCTATTATTATTATTATTATTATTATTTAAAAAAAACAATGCATTAATTAAAATTAATTTGATAAATAATATGTTGATATGCCGCTTTAATTTTATCCATCGAATTCATGTAGGGTAACGGTCAATTTCAACATCAAAATTTAAATTTCTTTTACTTAAAAAGCTCAGTCCCATGGTCCCTTACATTTTAGGGTCTAAAATGGTTTTGATGTAATTTTATTATAATCTTACCAGTAATGGACACTTTAATAATTAAAATAATGATTTTAATGAATATAATAATTAAAGTTAGCTAAAATCTCAATCGCTTACTATAGTATCACATGGCTATGACACCTATGGAAACAACTGAGACAATCTCGTAATTATCTCCAATTACAAGGGTACTTCCACTAATCCTTGACCTTATAATACCTCCCTCCTCGAACTCTAAAGCGAAGGGGAAACAATCTTCTACGACTGGAGTTCACTCTTTTTCTCGGAAAATATTCTCTTTTTTTCTTGCTCCATTTTCTTTCACTTTCTGGGGGGGGGGGAAATGTATCAGGGTAAGTGCCAGAAAATTCGTCAGATCGTCAGGATCCGACAAATGCTCAAGCAGTGGCGAAGGAATGCCCGGATAACAGCCGACAGAAACAACGGTAATAACGAACGCGCGCCGTCCGATGTTCCATCCGGACACGTGGCGGTCGTCGTGGGCGTCAGTATGAGGAGATTTATCGTACGCGCGACGTACCTTAACCACCCCATGTTCAGAAACCTCCTCGTACAAACGGAAGAGGAGTACGGTTTCAACAACGACGGACCGTTAACGATTCCATGCGACGAGTCGTTCTTCGAGGAGATTCTCCGAGTCGTATCCGGACCCGACTCATCGTCAACCTCGGGCCGTTTCTCCAAATTCGAGGTTCTACAGAGATACTGCCACGTCGGCATGAAGAACAAACTCGGGGTTTTCAGTGAATCCCGACCGTTGCTTCATGGGGCCGCCGATAAATCAGTCTACTGACAGCTAAAGCAAGCGTAATAAAGCACAGCTAATCATTGTTTTATTTGAGTGTTTAGTGGGTAATTTTTAAGGGGTTTTTTTTTATGGAGATGGCAAAGAGGGATTGTTTTTACCGAGTCATCCCAAGTGGAAAAGCTCAAGCATAATATTAACTGTCTTGTAAATCCAGTGACTTTGATTTTACTAATCCTAGGAATTTCATATATATATATTGTCAAGAAAGTATTGTAATTTATTGGATTTTTTTATTGCAATATTATTACATTTATATTATTTTAAAAAAAATTAAATTAAATGATATGCTAAAATATATTCAACTTTATTTTCTCTATTCAAATAGATATAAATTATTAATTTGTAATATCATAATTGTTTTTTAAAAGTATGTGCACTATAACGGCATAATCTTTTTTAAAAGGTAAAATTGTTTGTGTTCTTTATATTATGTTTTTTTTGGGGTAGATTCAGTCTTATTCCAATGATATAAAAGCTAAAGTTGTATAGAAGCTGTTCATATTATGCATTTTGACGAATAGAGAGGACCTCTGCTTAAATACGTCTTTCAAATACACAGAGTTTTTATTTTTATTTCTGAGATAATATGTTGGAAAGTAGATTGCAAAAATTAAACCAGTTTTAATAATTCGCCTATAAATTTGGTTCAAGAATTCTCATTTTAAATTTTTTTAGAAAACAATTCTAAAAAATTATTCCAAATTTCCCCCAAAAAGATAAAACATTGGTTGGGTACTTGGCAATTCGATATTTGCTCTACTGTGGTTGTCAAGTCGAAGATTTTATGACGACATGAATCCTTCAGCAAGCCGAACAAAGGCAATTATAAATTATATATGTACAATAAAGCTGAATTCAGCTAGCCAAACAATGACAAATTAAATCGAATTTACTAAATAAGGAGTTTCAGTGAATATGGACTAAGGGAGTTGAGGAACACATGTTATAGTCGAATTCACACGAGCACTCAGAAATCTCATTTTTAGACCGATATTTCTGCACTGCCTTGGCTAAAGGAACCTACGAAGCTTGAACAAATGGAAGATTTCAGAGAACTAAAACAAAAGTGTTCTAAAGAGTCTAACAATTGGCTATGCTAGTTGTGTCATTTTGTCCACCTCCGATCAAAATGCCAAACCAAAAAGAGGGACATGCCACAATGACCAAGGACAAATAGATAAAATGAAACTCAAAATGTAGGTAACTAACCTTAAAACCAACATGTCGATCTTGATACTTGTCAAAGATTTACAACTATCAAAGATTAAAAGAGCAGTTGATTCTTTTGACATCCAATGAACTCATGTTTTACGATTTGTATCAATTGTGAAATTTAGAAGGAAGCGATATTTTTTTAAAATTATTTTTGATATTCTTCAAAATTTTGAAAATAAAAAAGAAGAAAAGCATTTTCAAACAAAATAATCTATCTGGAGGCATATCTTGGAATTCAACGAATGTATCTCAAAAGTTCGTGATTGAAGTTTGCATCTTGGCATCAAACATTCATCATCATGTGTATTAAAAACATTTTTCTCCTCTCTTGAGGACAAATTCAATAATTCATCAAATCAAACACATAAAATAAACTTCATCTTGGCATCCATCATAACATCCAAGATAGTCAGTCATAAATGCATCATTTTAACCCTTCAGGAAATCAATGTTCGAAAATGACCATATGTCTCTAACTTGAAGAAACAGATTCACCATCCTGAAGTGAATAATCAAATCTTCTGAAGGCATTTCCTCAGCATGCAGGAACAAGCAGATTGTCTGTCTCATTTGATGATGTTTCTCTCGAAACAAAGTGTCGTCTCCCCGAGACACTTTTTCTTAAAAACAAATGCTGTCTCGCTTGAGACATTTTTCTCTTAAAACAAATTTATCTCACTTGAGACATTTCCCCTCAGAACACAAATTTCAAAGTTGTTTTACTTGAAACAAAATTAATCTCACTTGAGATTGTTTCTTTCAAAATAAATTTCGTCTCACTTGAGACATTTTTTCTTTAAAGCACAAATTCTGAATTTGTTTTACTGGAAACAAAATTTATAATATTTGAGTTTGTTTGTCTTGAAACAAATTTTATCTCCCTTGAGACAGTTTCTCATGAAACACTAAACTTTAAGATTGTTTCCCTTGAAACAAATTTTGTCTCCCTTGAGACAGTTTCTCATGAAACACCAATCTTTGAGTATGTTTCCCTTGAAACGAATTTTGTCTCTCTTGAGACAGTTTCTCTTGAAACACCAATCTTTGAGATTGTTTTTGTCACACCCCCAACCCATACCCGACCCGGATACGAGTCTGAAGTGTCACATTGACTTTTTAAAACAATGTTCTTACAAATTCACAGAGCATTTTGACTTATATTAAGAAAATACAATAATATATTGTTGAATTATATTCGTTATAACAAATTTAAGGAAAGAAACATTTTTATGAATAGTACTATACGGTATGAACAATACTTCATATTCGATTATCTTAACCTGACAATATCTTAAAATTTTATAATTCCAATACATTTTTCATCTCATAATCTTGTTAGCCAACACTAACTTTTTCCATCCAAAATTTAAACTCTTATCATATTCAATATCATATCCACACTTTTGCTTATACACAATACTATCCCTTTCATTTCGTTATCCATTTATCCTTTTTATAATCAGCATTGCCTTATACAAAACTAAATCATATCATGTCCTTCATATTCACATGCTCTTTTATATCACATATATTTATCCTTAACTATCACTCCTTATCATATTTTCATGACTTTGATAGTCAACTTTACTTGCACAAAACCTTATTCTTTATCATTCTTATACTTGTATTTTCTCCACTTGTTTCAACAATTACCAGATTTCAATACTCATCTAATCCATTTAAAATACTTTTTGTGCTTCAATTTACATAACTTCTAACGGAGCTTTTAACCTAATTCACAAAGGTTGTCTTTAACCCTGAATTATTATCAATTAACTCCTTGTTTAATCTTCCAATATCAGACCCTACTACTTGAGTCTGTCTGACTCTCATATGATCTGATTCTCTAGTGTAGAATACAACTAATTCATATCTGGTTTAAAGTTGAAAACCAAAATCTCTACCTTTCTGTGATGATGCTTAACTCTATGAAGCACTAATTCTCTTAAGCATCTGAGATTTTTGTTCTCCAAACCTTTCATTCTGAGATTTCTCTAGAGCTTTAACGCGATTAACCATTTCTTGAAATGAGAACAAATTCAAAACCAGTAACACTCTTTAATTTAAGGTGCAAGCCCTAATCAACCAATCACATATATAATTCTTAAACGGAATCAACTCAACAACAAATCTGCTTAACTTATTAAACTTACATTCATACACATGCACGTGTAATTCCCTTGCTACAAGCTCGTATATTCTAGCTTCATTTTCCTTATAAACTAATCATCGATGTACTTATTCTTGAACTCTTCTACAAACAATAACCACATCACTTAATCTTTTAACATTCTCATGGTGACATTTGTCCATCGTACTCTAGCTTGCCCACATAGTAACGAAACTACTCAATTTAACTTCTTCACTTTGGAGAAATGAAAACCTTCTAACATTATCTTCATATCATTTATCCAAAGATCTGTAACAACATAACCTTCCCCAAATTCACTCTTGAGCTCGGGTGCTCTTTACTATTTCGATACATTCATTCTATGAGTTTAAGAAATATAAAATTTAAAACACATCAAAATATCTTTCAACATCATGAAACATTCTCTAATCTTATACAGGCACTCTCAGAGGTATTCGCTCTTCTCCCTGCTTGGCCAGGGCAGGTGAATTGTTATTACATTCAATCTATCACCTTGTGCTTCACTTTGGAAGCTCTAATGATCATACCTATAATATAACATAACAATTTAACTCTATTTACAAGACAATACACTCCTTACACTATCAGATCAGAAAATTTTTCACTTTGTGTTGGCATGTATACTTTTTAAAACACTTTTGACTTTGTTTTAAGCCTAGAATCGGCTAAACTGTAGCTATGATACCATTAAATGTCACACCCCAACCCGTACCTGACCCGGATACGAGTCCAAAGTGTCACGTTGACTTTTTAAAACAATTTTCTTACAAATTCACAGAGCATTTTGACTTATATTAAGAAAATACAATAATATATTGTTGAATTATGTTCGTTATAACAAATTTAAGGAAAGAAACATTTTTATGAATAGTACTATACGGTATGAACAGTACTATGGACAGTAATATACAATATTGTGAACAGTAATGTACAGTACCATGAACAGTATCGAATGCTACAGAAGTATCGATACCCTGCTACAGTGTACCGATACCCTTACTACAGTAAATTCGGTCCACTTATATAAAACTCATAAAAATTAAATTTTCACCACCATAAAGATTACCATTTACATATATACGTTTAAAACATTACAAAACTCGATCAGATGGTTTTACAAAACCAATTAGAACATATCGAATTCAAACCTTTATTTACATGCCAACTACCATCAGTATTACAAAATACATACTATTCAATTCTTTTCTGATATGTTCTTTGGAAATGAGGAACTGATCTGTCTTGCATAACTTTTATCAATCTTCCTCTTCTCGAAACCTACGTGTGAAACAATCACACGCTAAGTCGTTGACTTAGTGAGGCATAATAAACATATAATAGAATCATAGAACATTTCATATAACAAAATACATACATGCACATATACTATCATTATCACTAACCAATTTATCATATACTTTTGTACTTATCATTTCTGTAGATCATATAACACATATATCATAAATAAATAAACAGATATAATATCATATAATAATGCAAAGACTTTTGATATCTTTTATAGGCCCATGTACATTATTGAGAACTTAAGATATTCGAGTACATTGAGGTTGTGCACTTATGCTGTCACCACAACTCGTATAAGTCCCACTGAGTGGCATATGAAATTTTAT